GGAAAAATATTCATGAATATAATGGAGATAATATCATCACACCTAAAGACATTAACATTGATTGATAAATATATTGTATTTAAAAGCCGTAGAAGAAATCCTCATTTCTGACATTTATGAGACAATTTAAAAATTGTACCTGGAGTAGTCAGATTCATAGAGACAGAAGACAGAATGGTGGTTGTCAGAGTATGAGGGGAGGAAAGACAGATTTGTTATTTGATAGGCAGACTTTTAATTTTACAGATAAAAAGGGTTCTGGAGATGAATAGTGGTGATGGTTTCATAGTGCTGTGAATACACTCAACATCCCTTTACTATAAACTTAAAAATGGTTAAGACGGTAAATTTTATTTTATGTGTATTTTACCATAATAAAAATAACATGGATATTTTTGTTACTATATTGAATGTTTTCTGAGTACTTGGGAAATGTAGTCTTATTTTTCCTCTGAAGCTCTGATATTGTTCATCTTTTAAAAAAAAAATTAAAACTTTTATTGAGTTACAATTTCTATACTATGAACTTTCTCATTATAAATGTATAATTTCATGATTTTTAGTAAATTTATAGAGTTGCCAGTAATTGACACAAACCAGTTTCAGAACATCTCCAACACCCCAGAAACTTCCTTCATGCACTTTGGCAGTCAATGCCTGCATCTGCTCCCGGCCCCATGCAAAAACTGAACTGCTTTCTGTATCTGGGAATCTGGCTTTTTTATTTTATGTAAATCAAATCGTAGTATATGTCATCTTTTGCATTCAGCTTCTTTCACTTAGCATAACATTTTTGAGTAATTTTTCATGAATAAATGCTTCTTAGTTTGCTGTAATCTGTTAGTCAATTTCTATGTCACTTAAATAGTTGCTTTTGATAATTTGATCCAGTTTTATGGTTTCTTTTTAGGGGATAAAATTTGGTGACTTCCTCCCACCACACAGGTCCACATAGCAGACCTCCAGCATAGTCGTGGGAGGTGAGTGGATCATGCAGTTGGATTTCTTATAAATGGTTTAGTACCATCCTCTGGGTACTGTCCTTGCAACAGTGAGTGAGCTCTCATGAGATCAGGTCATTTAAAAGTGCGTGGCACCTCCCTCTGACCAATCTTGCTCCTGCTTTGGCACATGAAGTACCTTCTCCCCATTCATTTTCTGCCATGTTTGGAAGCTTCCTGAAGCCTCCCTAGAAGCAGAGGCTGCTCTTCTTCCTGTATAGCTTACAGAACCATGAGCCAATTAAACCTCTTTTCTCTGTAAATTACCCAGTCTCAAGTATTTCTTTATAGCAATGTGAGAACAGACTGATACAAGGTCCCAGCCCTTCCTTCATTTTATTTTATTTTTTTAATTCTAGGCAGGAGATGAAAGAGTCCAGCTGTAACCTGGCATTGAAGGTTGACTGCACTTTGGATACTGTAGTTTATAGCAATTGTCAGAAGACTTGCTTTCTTAAATTATCTATTGCAGTCTTTGACACAGGCCATTCAGAAATCTAGAACATTGAAAGTTTCTGTTCAAGAATCATTTAAATGCAGTAAGCATTTTCAATATTATAGGTTCTTAACCTGGAATCTGCAGGAAGAGACTTCTCTTTTGAACCCACAGTGACTTTTATAATTTCTATTTTCTCAGTGAATGGATGTTGAAAGTATAAATGTGAATGTCAGCATAAATGTGAATGTGATAAAGATAACTTTATACTTAAAGACGGGGAACTTATAGTCTAAACCACAGCATTACTCATGATCATTTCTAGCTCTGCCCCAAGATGCAAAGTATCTATCCAGCAAGTGTATGTGCAATAGAGAACAATGATCTTTTATCCTTATACCCCATTACCCTTCACCCATTGGAGAAAGAATTAAGTTTTCAGGGGAGGAGCAATGGAGCTTTCAATCTGAGCAAGACTATAACCACCATCCAGAAACACCTCCAGCCTGGGTACATGTGGCATTGTTTTGTTCCCCACCCTGCAGAAACCCAACCCTGGGTCACAGACCATATATCCCAGAGAAGGCAGTGCTCAACTCAGTACATGGCACAAAATAGAAACTCAATAAATCCTGATTGGGTTGAAATGAAAGGTACATAAATATGGTGGTGGTGGTGATGATGAAGTTGTGTGAGTAATAATAGGTGGGGGGGTCTGCTTTCCCCTTTTTAATGCTGAAAAGGCTAGAGGTCCCATTCTGTGTACTGAGCAGAAAGGAGATGGTTGTCTCTAGTTATACTTGGGGGATTAGAGAGAAATTACTCAGCCAGTCTTTCAGAAATGAAAATTTTGACAAACGACAAAGAAACTTCTTCCTCACATCCTGGTTGGGGAGGAGCATTCTGAAAGAATAAAAAGCAATGGACACTCTGAGGCTGCCCTAAAAACTGCACATTGGTAGGGCAATCACTCCCCTTAGCTGAAGACCCAAAGAGAGAATCTTCACTCAACAGTCTGATAAAGACCAGTGTAAAAAACTCAGTGAGGAATTCATCAACATGATACCAAGTCAGCTCCCTTCCATGAATCTTCTTAAGTACTGCCTTCACTAATTTGGTATTGTGAAAACCCTACAAATGAGTACCAGCACTCAATCAGCTGAAGTTCTGAGGTGCTCAACTCATAAAATTTTGCTTTAAGGTAAATACTATCATATATATAAAATCAGAAGTTCTTAGGAAAATATCTGGAAATGAAAGGAAATTTATCACAGCAAACGGGATGTCTAACTGTTTTAATAGCAGTCTCTAGGCTGCAAGCTAACTTTTGGATATACTGTGAAGTGTTAACTATTCATAATAACTTGTCCTGATTTCATAGGTCTTAATTTAGTTCTTGGAGAACAAATGGCTAGTATCTGGTCCCCTGAGACTGTTTTTTACATATTTATTTCTTGGTGTTTGTATTGCTGATGAAAATGAAAAGAAATTAGTATAGTAAAAATCTTTTGGTGTATAATAGAGGCTTTAATTTCACAAACATCTCATAGTCTAACATGAAAATAACTTTGACTTCGACTTCATTATTTTACCCAACTTCATTATTTTCCATTCTTCAGAGAGCATATTCTTTTTTTTTTGAGATGGAGCCCTGCTCCGTCGCCCAGACTGGAGTGCAGTGGTGAGATCTCAGCTCACTGCAACCTCTGACTCCTGGGTTCAAGCAACTCTCCTTCCTCAGCCTCCCAAGTAGATGGGATTACAGGTGCCCACAACTACGCCTGGCTAATTTTTTTTGTACCTTTAGTGGAGACGGCGTTTCATCATGTTGGCCAGCTGGTCTCGTACTCCTGACCTCCTGATCCGCTGCCTCCGCCTCCGAAAGTGCTGGGATTACAGGCATGAGCCACCACGCCCCGCCCAGAGAGCACATTCTTTAGTTTTTTTTTTTTTTTCCCCCCTAGTTTTCTTTCTTCCTCAGCATTACCAAGAAGGGTTCAAATGCCGAATCCATGTCACCTTTCAGAGTTCCTGGACAACGCAGATTTTCTGCAGCTTGTCTACTCTGGTAAATCCTCGTTGAATTCCTTATGCCTCATTCCTGTCCATACAGAACACAGCAGGTGATTTTGATAGTGTTCTAGTTTCTTCCACTTCTGCAAGATAGTAACATAGTGTTCTATTAGGCCTCAAAAACATTGTTAGAGAAACTGGGGCAGCAGAAAAGAAGGAATATTTTTGTAAGCAGTAAAAACCTATTCTGAGGATTATTTGAATGTTTCTGCCCACTCATAATTGAAGTCAACTTTACAAGGCGAATACAAAGAAGAGGATCTATTTCTTGCGAAAGATACGCTTATATCTTTCGCAAGAAATATGTATTTGTTCCAGAAACCTTTATTTGAAGCCGACGAATGACTTGTAGTGGGCGAGCTCTTCGGCGCTATTAATGCTTTCGGGATCACAGCGGAAACTCCGGCTGTTGCTCAGAAAAGAACTACGAATCCCAGAATGCTATGTTCCCCATTTTTCCCGCGAGAATCAAAGGGTAAGCTTAACCAATCCTGTCACGCAGAGTCTGGCTTTCGGCCAATCAGAAGGCGAGCCTGCGCCTGGAGGCGGGTGGCGGGAAGTGCACTAGGTTTGAAATCCGAAAGCTGGTGGGGCTGCGGGAGCTGAGTCTGAAGCCCGGTTGTTGGCTACCGTGGGCGCGGATCTGCTGTGGGGAAGGCGACGGGACTCAGGCCTGCCTGCGAAGGTGAGGGAGGTGGGCGCCGAGCTGGGCTCTTCGGACTGTCTGTCGCGATAGGGGAAAGTGAGTTTGAGGGCGGAATGTGTGTTTTGGGGGCGGAATGCGTGTATTTGGGGCGGCGTTTGTGAAATGGGCATCTTGTTGCAGTTTGGGCCTCACAGCCTGGTGGAGTGGGCGGCTGCGAACCCAAAAGGTTCTGGGTTTCACTGCAGGAGATCTCTTTTGTCCTCCCGGGAAGGTTTTAGCGTCACAGAGTATTGGTGGGTCCAGGATTCTCCCAGGAACTCCTTTTGCAGAGGATACTGAGGCCCGAGGTGACTTGTATACATTCTCGACGGAACCCACTAAACTCTCACTTTATTCTCTATTTTACTGTTAACTTTTACTGTTCTGGGGTCGGGGAGAGAGACAGGGTAGATGTGTGGGATCTTATTCTATGGGAGGGACCCGCCACCTGGAGATCCTGTTGATCTCCGATTAAAAAGGGTCAGAGTTAGAAAAGGGGTTTTAGAAATTAACAGTTTTGCTTGTGAGAAAATGGACCCAGAGTCATAGAACGTGTGAGCGTCCTGTATATTTACACTTACCTACTAATAATCCGCTAGGAGGTAAAGGTGTCTTTGATTATTGCTGCATCTTAACCACAGTTAAGCCCAGGTGGCTTGCTCTACCCTTGAATACCTAGAATTAAAGATAAGTTGCTATTTTCTAGCAAATGGCAAATTGCCAAAATACTGTATGCCTGATTGGAATATGTGGCTGATTTGATTTCAATAACTCTAAAAAAATGCAATGTGTATTCTGTTTGTAGCATTGTCTTACATGATGGTAGAGGACGAACTGGCACTATTCGATAAAAGCCTAAATGAATTTTGGAATAAATTCAAAAGTACTGACACCTCCTTTCAGATGGCCGGACTGAGAGATACCTACAAGGACTCCCTCAAAGCATTTGCAGGTACCTAATGTTAACTTGTAATGTACTGTTTTTGCTCTTCTAGTTTATTTTGTAGTGTTATTTCAGCTAAATTCAAAGTTCACTCCAATTTCTCTTTCAGAAAAGCTGTCTGTGAAATTAAAGGAAGAAGATAGAATGGTTGAGATGTTTCTGGAATATCAAAATCGTATGTGAAAAAGTATAAATTACGGATTTTTTTTAGATAAAATGTCTTTATCATGAAATCATACAAGTGAGACAATGTATTTTGTGTGTACAAGTGTGAATATACTGTTTATACACATGCAGTGGCTCACGCCAGTAATCTCAACACTTTGGGAGGCCGAGGTGGGTGGATCCCTTGAGCCCAGGAGTTCAAGACCAACCCGAGCAATGTGGTGAAACCCTGTCTCTACAAAAAATACACATACACACAAAAAAAGCACACACCACACACACACACACACAAAAACAAATACACATTAACGTCTATACATATGCTTATGTATATGAATAAACATTGACATACCATTCAGCTTAAGATAGAACATCCCATGTTACACCTTCTTCTCCCACCTTCCACAACTAACCTATCAATACATTGTTTAGTATTGTGGGTTTTTATTTTGTTTTTTGAGAAAGGGTCTCACTTTGTCAGCCAGGCTGGAGTGCACTGGCATGATCTAGGCTTACTGCAGCCTCGACCTCCCGGGCTCAAGTGATACTCCCACCTCAGCCCCTAAGTAGCTGGGACCACAGGTGCATGCCACTATGCCTGGCTAATTTGTATTTTTTTGTAGAGATAAGGTTTCACCATGTTGTGCAGGCTGGTCTTGAACTCCTGGGCTCAAGCGGCTTGCCTACCTTGGCCTCCCAGAGTGCTGGGATTTCAGGTGTGAGCCACCGTGCCTGGCTTCTAGTATTGTGTTTTTGAATTATATAAATGGCATTCTCTTGTATGTCTTCTGTCCATTTTTTCACTCAGCACTGTACTTGTGAGATTTGTCAGTGCCAAGGTATAAATGCCAGTATTTTTTAAAAGATGAGTTTGTTTTCGTGTTGGGAATCACAGCCTGGGGAATGAAAAGCTGGAATTCTCTCAGCTCTGTTAGTACTCTGAAAGTGTTTCTGTCCATATTTTTACTGCTATTCTTGCCATCTTATTTCTACCTCTCTTCAGGTTGTCCAGAGTGGATCAATAGCTTTTACCAAAACCTGGCAGCTTTTACTGAATTCTTACCCAAAGAACACAAACTTGTGTCCACAGTTCAGATTCTACTAGAGATACCCAGTTTAAAGGCACCATGTTTTAAGCAATGTTAGACTGGAATGTCCTTACATGGGGCATGTGTTCTTTCATTAGCAAAGTGGGTAGCTTTTATTTACCCACTTTACTCATTGTGTGGCCCATGAAAGCATCTGACTTTATTACCCCAGTAGGTTATTTGCTAGACTTTTACCCATGGTTCCTTTGTAATCTGCCCTGAAACTTCCGTGCCCTTTCACTGCTTCTCTCATTCCCTCTGTAACCATAAGCAAAAAGGAAAACCACTTTTGTTTGCATGTGTGTGTGAAAGAGTGATACTGAGTTTGGGTTCTTTAAAACCTCTGTAGGATCCCTAGGCATTAGAAAATTAAAAGTTTGGAACTGTCAATTTTACTACTGTGAGTCTCAAAGTGTGCTCTTAAAGATTATCTATAGTGTGAAGATATGCTCTATATAGTCAAAAATCTAAAATCTATCAATATTTTTCTTTTTAAAATCAGTTTATACTTGAACAGAAATATAATTTACCCAAGTTTAATTAATTCAGTGAACATATGACTGCTGTTGCCCAGCACTAAGGAGACAACAATGCATCAAGTATAATTTACTCACAATATTGTGGAGGATATAGACGGGGAAACCACAATTAAAATATATCGTGCCAGGTGCAATGGCTCAAGCCAAAGTAATCCCAGCACTTTGGGAGGCTGAGGCAGGAGGATTTCTTGAGCCCAGGAGTTCAAGTCCAGCCTGGGCAATATAGTGAGACCCTGTCTCTATAAAAATTAAGGAAAAATTAGCCAGGTGTGATGGTGCATACCTGTAGTTCCAGCTACTCAGGAGACTGAGGCAAGAGGATAGCTTGAGCCCAGGAGGTCGAGGCTACAGTGAGCCATGATCATGCCATTATACTTCAGCCTGGATGACAGGGAGATCCTGTCTCCAAAAAAAAAATATATATATATATTTTAATTGTTGTTATAATAATGGAATAGATGCTATGTGAGGATAGAATCTGGAGGGTTTGATTCTTCAGTGAGGATTGCAGGATATTTAATAGCTAACTATTACCTTGTATACCATGTGCCAGGCCCTGTTCTAAGCTCTTTGCATATATTGACTCATGAACCCTCACAACAACCCTAACAGGTATAGATACTGCTTTTATTCTTACATGTTAGATTTTTAAAATGAAATAAGCACAGGTTAAGCTACTTGCTTAAGGTCAGATACCTGATAATGAACAGAAAATGATTTGAACTTTCAGTCTGATTATATCACACTACTTTGGAGAATACCACATAAAGGAGGGTTAGGGATGTTCAACAGTGTCAGCATTACATTCTAGGAAGAGGGAACAGTACATGGAATGGGCAGGAACACGAGAGCTTGATAAGTTCTGGGATGACTAGAGTACACTGTAGATGGGGAGTGGCGGAGAAGTGGCTGGCAGGAGAACTGGCCAGATGATGGACATTCTATGTTGTGCAAAAGGGGTTAGACTTTGTTTTTCAGGAGATAAAGAGCTGCTATAGGATTTCTACCTGGAAAATGATACTGGATTTATATTTCAGAAGAAGCTCTCTAGTAGTCATACACAATAAACAGGAGGGACATGAGATTGTTGTCCATAAAGAGACAGTTAAAGGAAAAATCTAGTGTAATAGTACAGGCACATAATGAGGATGGCTTGGACCAGTGACAGGTCTGAGGGGTTAGACTCATGACTGTTGGCCTGAAGGTGAGAGGGTGTTGTGGTCTAGGTTGATTCCTTCTTACATGGAGTATGAATCAGTGGTGATGTATTTACTAAGTAAGGGATTGAAAGAGTGATGGAGCATGTTTTTATGGGTGGGAAGGAAACATACATGGGTTCAATTTTAAATGTGTTGGGTGAATATGTTGAGTTTATTATGCAGTAAGTCTTCAGGTGGTAGGCATTGTTTGGTAGGCAATGTATATATTCATCTGGAGGCCAGCCAGGAAAGTGGTCTTTGGTGAAGATAGGAATTTGTGAATCTGTATTGTGTTTTGGGGGTTGAAGCTGTGGAAGAATATGTAGAGTTTAAGAAGATAGCCTTGGACAGTAATAATATTTATTTACTCATTACTGTGTGACAGGTAATGTGCGAAATACCTTACATTGACCATCTCCTTCAGTCCTTATGACAGTTCTCCAGAGTTGCTATTATTTATTATTATTCCTACTTTACTGATATTACAGTCCCAGAGAGATTGTGATTTGCCCCACATCATCAGATTAACTTCAGAAGCCTCACTCATCTTCAAAGCATTACCTTTCCTCTTTGAGAGAGGGATAAATGGAAAGGACCAGGGAAGATAGAATTAGTAATTGGAGAACAGAGAGACGTAAGAGGGAAGGTCACCAAAACTGAAAGAGGAAATAAACAAGAAAGGGTGTTGTCAACATTGGAAGTCACAGGTAGATCCAGTAAGGTAAAGACTGAGATAGATATTATTTTGGGAATAAGAAAGGTGGAAGGAATTCATTCACTGATCAAGTATTTGTTGAGCTACTGCTCTATACTGGGTAATCTTCTAGGAAGATACTGCAGAGATCAAAATAGTCTAAAATTCTGGAGCCATAAATGCTAATTATCACAAGAGGGAAAATCATCTGTTGAAATTGAGAGGCATTTCCTATGGGCAGGCCTTTAAATTATTATAAATCCTGAAGTCTATCTAAGACAGAGATGCTCCCTGTTTTATAGATGAGGAAATTGAAGCTCACTGAGGTTAAGAAACTTGCCTAAGGTCTGGGAGTAGATAGAGGATCTAGGATTACAACCAAAGTGTCTGTGTTCTTTCCATTGTACCATACTGACCTGCACTGGAGTGAAAACGCAAGTAGGAGTGCAAGTTTGAAATGTCCATCCTGGGAATAAGATAGCCAACTGTGTACACATGCAATAATAATCACACAGCATCAAGGGCCCTTATATTTCTATGGGCCACAAATGCACACAGCGCTTCAAATGTTGTAATAAAAACACTCTTATATGTGGTATTTATGTGTCACTAGTTTAAAAGTTTTCCTATTATTATTACTGGATACTGTAACCCCAGTGAATGGAGTAGCAATGTTATCCCCATTTTACGAATGAGGAAAAGAGATTCAGAAGTTGTGATTTTGAACAAGGTCGTGGGGTAACAACTGATGAGCTGGATCAGAGTTGAGACCTTTGACTTCAATCTGGATTTCTTGTGTAGCACAATTCTACTTAATACTTTTCTTTAAATGGTAGCATTTTCTTTCCAGTAAGATGTTTATTTTTAAATCATACTTGACATAATATGTGATCATGTTCATATTCTTAGAACACACAAAAAAGTAAACAAATAATATCACCTGTAATGTTGAGAACCACGTTTAACCAAATGACTTTCTCGCTTTTATTTTTCATGAGCTGTGTAGATTTTTAACATAATTATGTTCATGGTATCTATATAGCTATCTTTTTTTTTTCAACTTTTAGAGTATTTTCCCACATAGCTAAATTTTTTTGAAAATACATTCCATCTTACTGACCTACCGTATTTTAAAAATCATTTACTTATTAGCCATTGATAATGTTTTCAGTTTTTCATTATAAATACTGAAAAAGAATTTTTATATATAAATATTTGCACATATCCTATTTCCCTATGGTAACTTTGTAAAAATGAAATTGCTGGGTCAAAGGAGGTGAATATTCTTAAGCCTCTTTTATTTTACAATGTCGAAAATATTTTCCAGAAGGACCCTAGCATTTTGCATTCCTCTCAAGATTTGCTGTTATTTTTGTAAACGTTGTAAAAAATGAAAATTGAAATTTTATTGCTTTACTTGCATTCCTGTGATTTATCTGAGGTTATCTTTCATATTTATTAATCATCTGCATTCTGTGTTTCGTCTTTTTATCTCTCTTACGTTTTTTTCTTACAAATTTGTATTTGTGTCTTCCTCTTGAGATTAAAATAGTAACTCATTGTTGGAGAAGGATAGTTTAATAGGAAAAGCATTGCCTTTGAAGTCAAGACCTGAGTTTGAATGCAGTCTTATTAATTTCATCCTAGCAAATACAGCTTTGGGCAAGTGACTGAATTGCTGAGTCTTTTTCCTCTTCTTTAAAAAAAGTAGTAAAAGACTAAAGAATTTGTTTTGGATTTCAGCACTGTTTAGAAAATAATGTACCTCTTGAACATTGATTTGACATTTCATTTATCATATTAACTTCCAAAATATGCCAACATTTTGGCATGTCTCTTATAATATTTAGAAGCATAAAATATCTCTTCATATATCCAGATCAAATATGTGTCTCAGACAAGCTTTGCAGTTTTTTTTTAACAGAACCTACATATTTCTTGATCTAGGTTGATTCTGAATTTTCTGTTTGTTGCCTCTATAAACGAGATTTCCCTGTTGCCTGAGGAATGCTTGTCTTGAGAGATGTTGTTCATGCACTGCGAATTCTTGCTCACCTCAATTTGGGAAACAGATTATAGTGTATTTCTCTTTTGAAGATTTATGGTATTTAAAGTCTTCATAAATTTGGTGGTGGACTAACTCTTGTTTAACTTTGAGAAAAAAATTCTGGGAGCATATATTTACTTATAATTCTGATACTGGAATTAAATGACAGTATAGATAGTTTGGTTTATTTGATACAATTCTAGACCACTGGTGTTATTAATTGGCATTTGATTTTAAAGTGTTTTGATTTCATTTAAGTATTAATAAAACTAAATCTTTAATTCAAAAATTTATAAGCATATTGTAAAGCACCACATGAGCTCTACTGGCATTAGTTATTTGACCTCAGTAATCTCTACCCTAGAGCTCTTAGGCTTTTTGTGCCTTCCTGCCTTATTTAGCCCTTTGATTGGCACTTTGGGGACACTGTCTCTGGGCAATGGGTCCCAAGTCGCAGAAGTTGTATCTTTCTTCCAACAAACAGAGGAAGACATGGCCCTGCCATTGTTACTCCTTTCCCAGCAGAGAGGTCTGGCCAGGTTTATGCACAGGCATTGTTGTTTTTATTTTGAGCATATGTGTGAGAAAGGGGTGGGTAGTTGCAGAAGCTGTGTGTTTCAGAGGGCTAGGGCAAGAAGAACTTGTACAGATAGTGACAGGGATGTGGGGAAGGCAGGGAGGATAGAGGATTAAAGCCAAGAAGGAGTAATGAGTGCTGGCCAATATTTGAGACAGATGTAAAAAGCCAGTATTTTGATACATGGATACCTTGTTTTATTGCACTTCACTTTATTGCACTTTACAGATATTGCAATTTTTACAAATTAAAGGTTAATGGCAACCATGTGTCAAGCAAGTCTGTGGGCACCATTTTTCCATCAGCATGTGCTGTCTTCATGTCTGCCACATGTTGGTCATTCTCACAATGTTGTACAGGACCGAGCACAGAAAGTCAACACCAAGATAAAAGTATGCCAAATTGCAGGGTCCTTATTGCTGGCGGCCACGGAGGACTCGCGTCTCTCCAACCCGTGGCCCCGAAAGGAGGGTGTCAAGACCCCTTTATACCCGTAAAAATCACCTTGGGGCGTGAGGGAGAGGGGTGGGGGGCGTGAGGGAGAGGGGTGGGGGGCTTGAGGGAGAGGGATGGGGGGCGTCAGGGAGAGAGGCGGGGGTAGCGGTGAGAGGGTTCCCCCTCCGGACGTTATAGTGGATTCCCGGGCGAAGATAGGGTGAGGGGCTCCGGACATTCTGAGGGCCAGGGGCCCTTTTTGACATTCTGGTTGTTACTTAAGTGATTCACAAAAGTCAAGATTAGCATTTGTTTACACATTGTCTGGGTAAGGTGGTCATTATAGTCCTTAATTGCTCATTCACATTTGGGTTATAGAGAGCAGTTTAAACAGATAGCTTAGGTATGGTTGAGGTATGCAGTTTTATGGGGCTTTTTACCATGTCACAACAAGATTTCAAACATGTCATTATTATATTATATTATATTATATTATATTATATTATATTATGATCAGTGATCTTTGACATTATTATTGTAATTGTTTTAAGTGCCATGAATGACACCCATATAAGATGGATAAATGTTGAGTGATTTCTGGCTGCTCCACTGACCAGCCATTTCTGTCTTTCTTCCTCTCCTTGGGCCTACCTAGTCTCTGAGACACAGCAGTATTGAAATTAGGGCAATTAATAATCCTATAGTGACCTCTAAGTGTTCAGCTGAAAGGAATCATAGGTCTCTCACATTAAATCAAAAGCTAGAAATGATTAAGCTTAGTGGGAAAGTGTGTCAAAAGCTGAGACAGGATAAAAGCTTGGCCTCTTGCGCCAATTAGCAAAAGTGCTAATTCATTGAACACATGATGGGTAAGAAAGAGAAACAGCCTTATTGTTGATGTAGAGAAAGTTTTAGTGGCCTGAATAGAAGAACAAACTGCAACATTCCCTTAAGCAAAAGCCTAATCCAGGGTAAGACCGTAGCCCTCTTCAATTCTATGAAGACTTGAGAAAGATGAGGAAGTTTCAGAAGCAGAGAAGCTAGCAGAAGTTGGTATATGAGGTTTAAGGAAAGCAGCAGCCTCCATAACATAAAAGTGCAAGATGAAGCAGCAGTGCTAATGTAGACGCGACAGCAAGTTATCTCACTAAGATCATTGATGAAGGTGGCTACACTAGAGAACAGATTTTTGATGTAGATGAAACAGTTTTCTATTTTGGAAGAAGATGCCATCTAAGACTTTCATAGCTAGAGAGAAGTCACTAAAACCATGCAATCTCATGATAAAACTTGAATGGGTAAGAAGTTGCTTCTTATGGATGAGCAAAGAATGTGGTTTTATGGAATAGAATCCACTCCTGGTGAAGATGCTGTGAACATTGTTTAACTGACAACAAAGGATTTAGAATATGACATAAACTTAGTTGATAAATTAGCAGCAGGGTTTGAGAAGACTGACTCCAATTTTGAAAGAAGTTCTACCAGGGGTAATTGCTGTCAAGCACCATTGTATGCTGCAGAGAAATCATTCATGAAAGAGTTGATTGATGCAGCAAACGTTATTGTTGTCTTATTATAGCCACAGCCACCCCAACCTTCAGCATCTACCACCCTGATCAGTCAGCAGCCATCAACATCAAGGAAAGACCCTCCCTCTGCAAAAGTTCAGAGCTCGCTGAAAGCTCAGATGATTATTAGCATTTTTAGCAAAAAATATTTTTAATTATGTACACTGGGTTTTTTAGCCATAATGCTATTGCATACTTAATAGACTACAATATAGTATAAATATAACTTTTCTATGTACTGGGAAACCAAAACATTTGTGACTTGCTTTATTGCAATATTTGCTTTGTTTCAGTGATCTGGAACAGAACTTGCAATATCTCCAAGATATGCCAGTACTTAAAAATAACACGGTACTTCAAAATAGCACAGAATGGCAAAAACTAATAAAACCAATAAAAACAAAGAGCAAAAGCTAATATTGCCATTATTAATATTAGTATAAACATCTGTTCTCACCTATATATTAATCACTAGTATTATGTACAATAACTGTTGATTTTTTTGGTGTATAGTACCACAAATTCTGCTAGATTTTCAGTAGATTTTTCTGAGTATTCTGGATAGATGTCTATTGTCTATATATAGTGAAAATAGTTCTTTTTTTCTTATGGTTTTACCAGTGAAATATCTTGTGTTGGCCAGAAACTTTTAGGGAAAATATTAAATAACAGTGCTAGCCAGCATCTATTTTATTCCTTTTGGAAATGCCAAATATTTATTACGGGATTTGAAAGGTTTTTGATTTGTTTCTGCATTGTTAAAGAAATGTCCTTCCATTTGTAGTTTAAGAATCGGTAGATGCTGAATTTAATGAAACGTCTCTTCAATTCCTATTCATGTGATGGATTTTCCTGATATACCTTCATTATATAAAATCCTTAGAATAAACTATATTTGCTCTTAGTAGATTATTTTTCATGTAAGTTAATATTTTATTGAGCATCTTTGTACCTAATGTTTTTAAGTGAGATTAGTTTATATGGTTGTGGGTAGAGGGCCAGTGCTATCTTTAATTTTTTTGTTTTAGTTTTAGAATTATGCTTACATTGTAAACTTTGCCTGCTCACCTGTCTTCCTTCACTTATTTTTGTCTTTTGGTATGTTCCAGAATAATTTATATAGCATTAGAGTGAGCCTTCTTCTTCAAAGCACTGTGTAAAGCCATCTTCTAGAGTTTGGTTTTTGGCCAGGCGTGGTAGCTTGCACTGGTAATCCCAACACTTTGAGAGGCTGAGGTAGGAGGATTGCTTGAGCTTAAGAGTTTGACACTAGCCTGGGCAACATAGTGAGACAAAAAATTAAAAAATTAGCCAGGCATGGTGTGATGTGTGCCTGTGGTCCGAGGTACTTGGAAGGCTAAAGTAGGAGGCTGCAGTGAGCAGTGGTTATGCCACTGCATTCCAGCCTGGGCAACAGCAAGACGCTGTTTCAGCAAAATATAAAAATAAATTAAAAAATAGAGTTTAGTTATCTTGGTAGTTTTTATTTCTATACTTATTTTGAGTGGGGAGCTGCAAGGGTCATGATCTTTTGATTTTCTGTTTTTTGGTTTAATTTGATATTCTCATTTTAAGAAGCATTTATATCTCATTTTTTCAAAGAATAGGATTTTTTTTCTTTTTTGTCTTTTATAATTTTTGAATCATTAGAAAATGCTTATCAATCAAAACATTATTAATCTTTATGAAAGTCAGTAAACTTTGGTCTTTTCTTAGATACATGTCAGAGAGCAAAGCATATTTTAACTAATACCTTGTGCTTCTTACAGAAATCAGCAGGCAAAATAAACTCATTCAAGAAAAAAAGGATAACTTGTTAAAATTGATTGCTGAAGTAAAAGACAAAAAGCAAGAATTGCAAGTACTGACTGCAAATATCCAGGATCTTAAGGAAGAATATTCTAGGAAGAAGGAAAGTAAGTTTCCTGTTGTAAACATACTGATCTAAATTTTAAAGTGGTGACAGTTCATTATTAAGTACATCTTGCCTGTTCCAGTTCATTGCTAAAAATGGATTACAGTACCTTAGGGCATAACTAGCCACTTATCTCTGCATGATGTCGTTAAAGTAAGCTAGCTGGGTTTTATTTTTTTTTGTCTTTTTTAAAAGGCCTTCTCTTGTGATTTTTAATATAATCAGAGTAATAATGAAATTGATATTAGGGTTTAATTAAGCAGAGCGAGAAATGGTATCCCTAAATAAAATTTGCTTTGGACAAGCCATTGTGTACTTTTTGCAACAAGTATTTATTGACCATACATTCTCTGCCAAGAAGTATTAAGCGTTCTTTTTATGCTGCAAAATCTCTTTGTATAAAGAACTTTCATATTCAAATGAATGCATCTTTTAGAAAGGAACCTGTTTTCTCACAAACTAGGGAATATATTCTTCAAATCTCCTGAAAATAGCAAAGTTTAATGCTTTTTCTTGTGGAGTTCTTATCCAACTCTGAACTGTGAAATTATTTTTCTCATTACTTAGGGACTATTGTGCTACTTTAAAGTATGCTTAGGTTCTGTTGTGCTAACTTTACAAAAAGAAAAGAAAAAAACTAAACTAGCATGAAATAAGGCTGACTTCTCATAAGAAATAGTTATGCTTAAAGGAATAGAACATTTCCCCATGAAGCAATTGATTATCTAGAAAAAACACAATAGTATAAATGAAGTCTATTTCTATGCTAGCCATACAAATCCCTGGCCTATTTATTCATGCTACTACATAATAAAGTAAAACAAAGCTTATTCTTCTCACTATCTGTATACATTTTCTTGAGCAGTTTTTTCTTCCAACTTAAATGAACAGAAGCTTCTTTTGCTAATTGGTAGATATAGAAACAATAAGTGGAAGCAGATTCAGAGGCTTGGCATCATTTTATAGTTGATTTTAAGTTTAAAAAATTAACTCAGTGAGCATTAATTTACTATCATTTAAAATATTTGCATTTGTATGCTTTTCAATCACAGCTATTTCTACTGCTAATAAAGCAAATGCAGAGAGGTTGAAAAGGCTGCAGAAATCTGCAGACTTGTATAAAGATCGACTTGGACTAGAAATTCGAAAAATTTATGGTAAGTTTGTTAATATAAATAAAGCATAGTAGATTAGAAAAGCATGTCTTTTCTTAAGTAGAGGAGAATTTTAAGAATATTTTCAACTGAAATGACCACATTAATATTTTAGAAAATAGGAAAAATTACAATTTTTCAATTTTTCTAACATAGTTACTGATACTCTAATTATTTATCATTCAATATTTTAATAAATGTATTTTTGGCATGATTGTCAACATGCAAATAATTTTTGTTATTTCTATCAGCATTGTATTAGCATTTCCTCAGTTACTTATAGCCTTCATAATGGTAATTTTTAAAGAGTGGTATAATAATTCATTATTAATGCAGCATAATTTATTCAACCATTTATCTATTGTTTAACACATATTTTGCTTCAACAACATTTGGATTCTGCCAGTTTTTTCAGCTTTAAACATACAGTCATCCCTATTATTCATGGTTTCTGTTACCCACCTTCAACCTTGGTCCAATGATATTAAATGGATGAGTATAGTACAATAAGACATTTTGAGAGGGAGAGAAGTCACATTCATATAGCTTTTATGACAGTATATTATTGTAATTGTTCTAGTTTATTATTAGTTGTTGTTGTTAATCTCTTTCAGTGCCTAATTTACAACTTAAACTTTATCATAGGTATGTACATGTAGGAAGAAACATAGTATGGATGGTCCCTGACTTAACGATAGTTCAACTTAAAATTTTTTGGCTTTATAATCAGTTTATTGGGGTGTTAAATGAATTTTTGCTTTACAGTGTTTTTGACTTATGATGTGTTTATTAGCACATAGTGCCATTGTAAGTCAAGGAACATATGTTTACATAGGGTTTGGTACTATCTGTGGTTTCAGGCATCTGTTGGGGGTCTTGGAACATATTTCTCCCTGGTGCATAATGGGGGACTATTATAAACCAGTGAGGATAAATATGGTTTGCATCTAATTTGTTTCCTAGAGAGGAAATGCTAGGCCATAAAAAACATGAATATTTTTATGCCTGTTGCGTGTGTATCACATGTACATCACTAATGTATAGCAATGTCTGTTGTGTCTGGGCTTCCCAAGATCACTCTCAGGTTTGGTGATTCACTAGAAGGACTTACCATATAGTCATATTCATAGCTAAGATTTACTGCAGCTAAAGGATACAAAACAGGATCAGGAAAGGAACAAAAGCACGTGGGGCTAAGTCTAGAAGAAACCTGGCACAAGCTTTCAAGAGTCCTAACCCAGTAAAGTTAAACAGGATGTGTTTAATTCCTTCAGCATCAAATTGTGACAACACATGTGAAGCGTTGTCTCCCCGGAAGCTTATTAGAGGCTCTGGAAGCTTGTGCCTGGTTCTCCTTGGACTTCAACTCCACGTATCTTTTCCCTTTGCTGATTTTGTTGTATCCTTTTGCTATAATAAATCATAGCCCTAATTATGGCCATATGCTGCTGAGTGAATCCTACGAGTTCTCCTAGTGAATCATCAAAAAGACCACAGCTGCCAAGGGTTCACCAGGCAAGCAGAGCTTTCTAAGTTTCCAAGGATAGCAGTCTCAGCCCTGGCATATAACTTTTATGCACACCTATCCACAATGTATGCGAGAACCCATATCATT